ATATTACTCTATTCATCTTCCAGCTCCCTCTATTTATATTCTTTTGCGCTCCATCTCTCTCCTCTTCCTGCTTCCCAGACATCTCTCTGATAAATACCCTAGTTATGAATTATATTGTAGTTCTTGTGGCTGAACCAACCAGAGCGCAATAATTCCTCATAGTACAACAATACAATCTGACAACCCGATAGAGCTCTTAAATAAAAGGAAAGTAAGGAAATGGCTCACACACACACTATAAATTTCCTTTAGACATTTCAGTTGAGTCGTCTAACTTCATGGGAAATCGGTGAATTAAACAACAGGGTTGAGCTTGCACCCTTGATAACAATACAACACGCATTAATCAGTATTAGTGAACGTCTAAGTGATTGTGCCCTCAATTCATCTGTTTTGCATTAGATCTATGAACTCAATTGCTCCTGTGTGTTTAGTTGAACCTGGACTCAAAAATGGCAAAAAAAATAAATAAATAAATTCATGTTTACAAGGTACAATGAACACATCTGAGGCCAAACTTACTGGTTGGTTAGGCAAAGTTGTGAGTGTGAGTTTCATGATGATTTCATTGATTTTAAGTTTGGTTCATATGATTAGTCTTAAGTAAACAAGATATCCTCTCTAGCCTATATTTCTCTTTGGTTGTACAGTTTAATCAGGTTTTCACCATCGTCTAAACATCACATAATAAATAAAAACTGTAAATGTGACTTACAGACAACACTGAAAGCAAAAATGAAGAATAATATGAGTCAATAACAGTCAATTAGAACAGTTTATTAATAGCATACGTGTATTACGTGTAGTGTATACACTACTGTTCTAAAGTTTGGGGTTGTTAAGATTTTTTAATGTTTAGAAGTCTCTTATGCTCACCAAGGCTGCATTTATTTGATTAGAAAATACATAAAAAATTGTGAAATATTATTACAATTTAAAATTAACTGTTTTCTGTTTGATTATATTGTAAAATGTAATTTATTCCTGTGATCAAAGCTGAATTTTCAGCATCATTACTCCAGTTTTCAGTATCACATGATCCTTCGGAAATCATTCTAATATGCTGATTTGATGCTCAAGAAACATTTCTTATTATTATTAATGTTGAAAATGTTGTTCTGCTTCATATTTTTGTGGAAACCATTAATTTCCTCCCCAAATGGCATCCCTTGCTGCTTTATTGCATTGCATCTGATTCAGGGTAAAATTATGCCAGTTGTCAAACATCTGGCTTGGCATGATTAACGAAGCCCAAACTAAATCATGCAAACCACATTTACTAAAACCGTTTGTCCCAATCATCCCAGACCAGAATGAAACTCAGCCGGCCAAAAAACAAGCCAGTGAGTGACTGCTGTTTCCTGTTTCTAAACCAGTTCAGGTGTCACATGACTGACTGTTATTCCACTGACACCCCGTCTGCTCCTGAAATAGTCTCTCCAGCCTAAAATTACGCTCTACTGCTCTCTTTTACAGTGACCCCACTCCAAACACATACACAGAAACACACACCTCAGAGTAAAAGTAGCTCATTTCTTTTTAAGACGCCCAGTTCTATAATCGGGGACCATTCAGACACATTCAGGGTTCATAATACATGTCTTAAACTGAAAATAATGACTAGAATTATCATAATTCACTGTGCTACATGTCCCAATTGCATTTTCCATTAAGACATTTTCATCATGACATTAAAGAACATCCATTCTATAATTGTCATTATTTTTTTGTGAATTTTTTTTTATATAATAATAATAATGTATTTAAATATAATATAATATAATATAATAATTAGCGATCGACCGATATTGATTTTTTTTTATAACCGATACCGATACCAATTATTTGCGTGTTTATGTTCCCGATAACCGATATGCAGAACCAATATTTATTTACTGTTATAAAGTTAAAACATGATTTGAGGGTAAAGCTGAGCCAATACTGAGAACAAAATAAATAAATAATACTACAAATTAATTAATTAAAATTGTAAATAATTAAATAGGAAACACAACTTACACAATATTTATTTAAATTCTATAAAAATAAATATTTGAAAATATAAAAATGCATTTTCATTGACAAGACAATGTCAACAAACTAGAAAAATCACCTCTTAATCGGCCAGTTGGAAAACTTAAAAAACTAACTTCATGAAAAACTAACTTCCTATTTCTTTCTTTGATTTTGGGGTGAAAAGAGCCCTGTTCTTGGCACGTTTCATGAGATTCAGCTGTGTGTGTTTCTGCATAAGTTCCAGAAGTGCATGTATATGGAAGCATTCATATTGTGTTTTTCTGCATCTGTGTGTGATCCAACAAGGTTAATGTTCGTAACCTTTACATAAATCTACTGCGGCTCTTTTCCAGCGTTGTGTTTTCCGGGCAGCTGGCTCATGGCAACGATAGACCCCACGGGAACGTATGAATGTGCAGCCACACGTCTGCTCATGACAGTCCAACATGAGTACATGAGCCAAACAAACCCTATAGCTCACCTCTGATTAACTCACGCTGCATTCCCTATGCAACTCACGTCATCTAAATATACAGCTCCATTTACACACACGCACTCTTAAAATAAAGCTTCTTTACTAGCATTGATGGCTCTATGAAGAACCTTAAACATCCATGGAATCTTTCCATTAACAAAAGGCTCTTTATAGTGGAAAAAAGGTTCTTTGTTTTTTAAATGGTTCTTTTAAGAACTGTTCACTGAAAGGTTCTTTGGGGAACCAAAAATGGCGTAACCTCTTTTAGAACCTTTATTTGTTAAGGAATAGTTCACCAAAAAATTAACATTTGCTGAAAAAGTCCATCCCCTGTTGTCCTTTGACAACAAAATCCACCAACATATTAGTTTAGAACCATTTGGACTGTTTCAGCTTGTAAATGGTGCTACTATGCAGATTTCTCTCCTGACTCAGACAAGACGACTTTTTCACCAGAGGAAGTAATATTATGGATTATGGACTCATTTTAGATGGAAGTAATAGTTTGAAGTTAAAACATGTTAATGATGGATTTGTTTCTTACAAACATGCAGCTTTTGGCTTCACAAGATGTTAATTGATGGACTGGAGGGGTGTGGATTACTTGTGATGTTTTTATCAGCTGTTTGGACACAATCTGACGGCACCCATTCACTGCAGTGCATCCATGATGGCAAGTGATGGAATGCTACATTTCTCCAAATCTGTTCTGATGAAGAAACAAACTCACCTTCATTTTAGATGGCCTTTCAGCAAATATTCATTTTTGGGTGAACTACTACTACTAGAAATCTCTTTAGCTATAGTTAATTATTTATTGGACCCCCTATCACTTTAAGAACCTCTGGTCTACACCGAAGAAAGCCCTGTCTAGACTCTGCTCCGGTACGAGTTGTGTCAAGCTATTCATTAGTCTGTTTGTTTGATGAAAAATTTTAAATTGATTAAATGGGTTATTAATCCGTACAACTGCAGCAGCGGAGGACTATTATTCTGCTGCGTGATACTGCAGAAGAACTGATGAAGGCAAGGTTTGATCTTCGGCTGACCAATCAGCAGAAAGGGGCGTTTAATTCCCGCCCACATGTAGAAATCGAATATTCAAGCTGTTTATTCATTTTTCCACCCATGAACGAAAAATTTAAATTTAAGCTGAATTCTCGTTTTTCGTTTTTTGGAAAAAAAAACAAAAAAACAAAAAAGGAGCCGTTTTCTCATTTTTCTATTTTCAATATTAAATCAAAAAACGAATGATCGAATGATACACGGATTAATGTGATACAAGAAAATACCATTTCGATCTTTCTACTTCAAACTTTCAACGTGTTCCTTGACATTTGTTTCTTTGTAATTATTTGTGAGATTTACTAGCAATTTCTGAATTAAGTTTCAAATTAAAGTGCCCCTATTATGCCTTTCATGCAGTGTGTCATGTAGCTGTATGTGAACATACACTATTTGCAAAGTTGTGAAGCCGACAGTGCACAATAAATAAAGTTATTGTCTATAAAAAAAAAGAGTCGGTTCACAATCGCCTAAACGAGTCGTCAGGAATTCAAATCTTATTCTGTTACGGCTCTACGTCATGAAGTAACACATTTGCATAATGTCCGCCCACGTTCTACGTCGCCAACTTGCCCGCCCACAAGCACAGTAAAATTTCCGTGTGGTTAACATCATGTCGAGAAGACGCTGTATCCTGCGCTGTGAGAGTAAATTAGTTTTATCACATCTTATAATTACCACAAACTTGTTAACACTTGACACTTACCACTGGGAAACGTCCTGCTCCAGTCGTGCTTGCGAATCAGTCTCTTGTCGATCAGCCAGTTCAACCGTTTCATCATCAGACTCCGGCTCGAATTGGTAAGGTACAATCAATACCATCTTTTCTATGTATTGACAAGTCTCCAGGGCTGTCATTCCGTCATTGGCAATGGGCGTTTCGTTTCTGACACACGCTGTACGCTTTTAGACCAATCCAGAGCCAATCTCTCTATGGCTTTGGACCAATTACAAAGGACTGCGCCATCTGACCAATCACAGCAGTGAGGGCTCACAGAAAGGAGGGGTTTAGAGAGACTGATTCTTTGAACTGCTTCGCGTGAGTCGTTTACGAATCATTTAGAAATGAGGTCAAATTAAATCTATTTTTGAGAAAACTAACGTGTTTTTTGACCTTGCATGCATGTAAACCTGTTTTAGGAGACTCATAAAACAATATTAGCAACCTTAAAAATGCCATAATAGGGGCACTTTAAATCCTACATCAATATTTCTCAGTGTAAATTTTCACAAAATGGGTTTCAAGAAACATAGGAGCAATTTTTGGCTGAACTATGCCTTTAAGCTTTCCTACAAATAAAATCTTGATTACATGTCACAAACATATCAAGAGAACACAGAAGAAGTAGAAAACTGAAGTTGTTACTGAACTGCGTTCAACGGTTAGACCCTTTCTGCCTGAAATAGATGAAACAAAAAGCCATTAGAGAAAAACAGAGAGAGATTAAAAGAGACATACCCCTGGTAGAGTCTTCTGTTCATGCAATGCATTCTGGGCTTTGATGGCTGATTCACGAGCGCAGTAGGTGAGGAACGCGCAGCCTGTAAAAATGAGATGAGAATCAGATACGAAACTGCACACTCCTACACGAAACACACACACACTCGTGTACCAAAACTGTGTGTTTCTCTCCCACGCTGCCATTTAACACAAAACTACACTGTAAAAAATAATTGTGATTTTAACAGTAAAAGACTCTAAAAATGCTACAGTAAAAACCTGTTAACTGGTTAACAGTAAGTTTCCATACTATATACGGTGAATAAATGTAATTACATTTAATGTAATTTTACAGTAAAATACTGTTAAAAATACGGTTTTTGGAATTGAAAAAGAAAAAGTCATTGTATAATTTACAGTGAAAAACCGTAAATTGACACTCCCAGAATTCCCTGCATGACACTTCATATTTGATGTTTTTTGTTGAAATAACATGTTTCTTCTTTTTGTTGTGTTTCTTATCAGTTGTGTACACTAGGGTTTAATCTTACATCTAATGTTGTTAAATGAATGTTTATTGCATTATTTCAGTATCATGTGTGTCACCATGATGGGGTTTAGTGTTTGTGTGAATGACACTGTGCACCTAAATAAAAGTATTGCCCTCCTCAGCTCGTAGAAAAGCTGTTTGTGATGAGCTTTGGTTCATCATGGGACTTTCTCATCACCACCAGTTTTTTTCAAAACAGATATTAGTACTTCAATATGTTGGTTTATTAACATTTCATCAGTTAATGAAATACGGTATTTTATTGTGAAGTCAAGTCTGTAAAACCTAAAATGTTGCTACCATATTTTTTTACGGCGAAGTTCTGGAAACCACAGCTGCCGGTATTTTACCGTAAATGTCACCGATTTTTTTTTACAGTGTAGATTTTTATGTTCTGAGCAAACATGAGTGATGTTGCTGTTGCTGTTGTGATGCAAGTGTGTTCTGGGTTGTTGCCACAGCATTGCTGTGCAGTTGCAATAGTAATAGTGATGTTTGAATTAACATACATTAACATGTATTAGATTTATCCAAAGTGACTTACAAATAAAGGACATCGCATCTAATCTGCAGCAATGCCACATTTAAAGTATATACTGTACAGTAGTAGATTTGGAACAGGGTTACGACCCTACCGCCAGTGTTTTGGCTGCCCTGGCCTTGTAACCTCAGCTCAATGCCTCTGCTCCCAAAAGAGCAGCTAGAAATGATTTCCAATGACCATGATCAGGCATCAGTCACATCTGTCATTCTGTGCTCTGTTTTTCACGGGTGTGTGGCCACAATAGACTTAAGCACATTAATTAATTTACCCCACAACAATTATGGGTAAGAGGATACGATGTCACACTCTATGGCTGTTCGGTTTTATAGTATATATGTTTATATGTACAGTATATTGTTGTAACTTTGAATAAAAACCATTAATAATGTATACAAAATGTAAACTACTACTTTTTAATAAGACATTAATTGTGAATAGTGTTGATATTGTTAACTTTAAAAAATATATATATATTAATTACAATAACTTAATGTAAAATACTTTGGAAAAACATGAACTGTAAACAGTGTTGTTATTGTAAAGCAAAAAATAAATAAAAAATTTTCATTAATTGATGTAAAGCTGAAATAAAAATATAAATATCAGACAAAGAACTTACTTAAAATCAAAGAAATTTTGAAAATAAGTATAAGTTGAAATACTAAAATGACTAAAACTGAAATAAAATAGAATACAGCTAACAACGTATTAGCAATAAACAATAATGTGATATATACGAATAATGTCAAATACGTTTTAATAAAGCATTAACTGTGAAGAGTGTTGCTATTGTTAACTAAAACTTAAAAATAATTTTCATCAATTGAAATGAAAATATGTTTAATAAGTTGGAGCACTAAAATGACTAAACCTAAAATGGAAATAAAACAATTTAAAGCTAAATAGAAATATTAAAAAACTAATCAAATTTACAAAAGCACTTAAAATGAAAACTGAAAGTTTACAAATGAAAGCTAATTCAAAATATCAATAAATATTATATAAAATTAATTCAAAAATAGTACTGATTGTTAACACTGAATTGTGGCTTCTACAAAAGCATGTACTAACCTTTAACAACCTCATAGTAAGTCAGGGAAAAAAAGTAATCTGAGCTACTTTTGACATTGAAATGAATGCTAGATTTGTCCTAAATCACTTTAATTCACCCTATACATTCACATTTTGGCTATCAATCAGCTTGATTAGGTGGATTTCAATATTTAAAATCCTGAGTTATCTATATTCTGTCTTGCAAGTTGGCTTTGTGCTAATCAGAAAGTTTTCAAAAAATAATATTTAAAAAGGTTAACATTAATTAAAACTATCTTAAGAAGCACATTCCTTTCTATTCTGCCTTTTTTCTACATCTTCATATTCACATTCAGCCTCTCCCGAACATTAAAACACAAATACATTAATTATATTCTGAATTAAAACTACTGCATTTCCCATTGGAGCCGGCTCTCCAAGATCAGACAAAGAATCCAAAAGAATTTTAAAGCAGTTTGGGGCGATCTGGAGCGGCCCAGCCTGTTCGCATTCCCATCCATTGTTCTGACAGTGATATTTTCACAGCTCCAGTATAATTGGCTTGTAATGATTGCCGTTATAGGAGCAGTAGTCTAGCGTAACCTGTAAACCTTAATTAAACCAGTCACATTCAAATGGACCCAAACCAACCCTCTGAGCGCAGCCGTGTGTCCGGAGCGAACGGACCACCTCATGTAGAACTAATCACACACACACACGCACACACAGAGGGAACAGTGTTTAGAGAGAGCAGAAAGTGTAACAGCTCTCATATGTATTCATGTTGCACACCTGTGTCCGTTCAACAGGAATATCACTATAATACATGAACAGTGGCACAGCATGCAGACAACTAACATTCTCTAGAAATCAACACAATCTCATTAGCAGCTCATCCATGCCGCAACAGATTAAGAAGCTTCTAAAACTAGTTTAAAGACCCAATGAATCTGTTTTGACATTCACCGTTTACTATCCTGCATTGACGTATTTGGAAGCTGAACTGGGACATATAAAAAAGGCGGCAACACTTAGGGTCCTATTAGTAAACGTTAATTAAAGACCTAAAATGAACTACACTAAAAGATACAAAATGGTCACTGGGGCTGCACCCTTCCAAAAGATATGAATATGTACGCTTAAGGTACTAATATATATAGTATTAAAGTTCTAATATGTATCTTTTTTAAGGAACTAATATATATGTGACCCTAGACCACAAAACCAGTCATAAGGGTCAATTTTTCGAAATTGAAAATAAGCTTAAATAAGATTTCCATTGATGTATGGTTTGTTATGATAGGACAATATTTGGCCGAGATACAACTATTTGAAAATCTGGAATCTGAGGGAGCAAAAAAATCTAAATATTCAGAAAATCGCCTTTAAAATTGTCCAAATGAAGTTCTTAGCAATGCATCTTACTAATCAAAAATTAGGTTTTAATATATTTACAGTAGGCATTTTTCAAAATATTTTCATGGAACATGATCTTTATTTAATATCCTAATGATTTTTGGCATAAAATAAAAATCTATAATTTTGACCCATACAATGTTTTTTTGGCTATTGCTACAAATATACCCCAGCGACTTAAGACTTAAAACTTAAGTTTTGTGCTCCAGGGTCACATATTATTTAGGGGTAAATAAGATTAAACCTTTATAGCTTTTGTACCATAGGGTACCGCGCCAGCGCCAGCTTTGTTTTTTTTTTTCTGAGAATGTAATATTTGTTATAGTATTTATTAGTCTTTGTTAATATTAGTTAAAAATACAACCATTAAATAACATTATACAACTTTTTATTTTAATAGTTAACTAATGTTAACAAATGAAACCTTATAAACTGTTACCAAAAGGGTCTCTCTTTTTATAGCGTGGCAAAAATCACACTTGACAACAATGAAGAAAAAAAACACACTCTTCTGGTCTTATCGTGAACATTTTACTGCAATATTTTATTCCAAGGAAAAACTAATTGAAAATACAGTAAAAGTGGTTAAATTGTAAAATATTGTTACAATTTAAAATAGCTGTTTTTTATTTTAATATATTTTAAAATGTAATTTATTCCTGTGATGCAAAGCTGAATTTTTAGCATCATTACTCCAGTCTTCAGTGTCACATGATCCTTCAGAAATCCTTTTAATATGCTGATTTGCTGCTCAAGAAACATTTATTATTATTATCATTGTTGAAAACAGTTGCACTGCTTCATATTTTTCTGAAAACTGTGAATATCCTGTTTCAGTCAGAAATTTAGCATGTCAACTGAAGTAAAATGGGATGTGAATGGCATTTCATGTTAACGTTAAGAAAAACAAGCAATCAAAATCAAAAGTCATGATTGGGTTCATTCGGTACAGCACAACTACAGCGCTTACAGAAAGAAACCCAGCATTTGGCTTTATACACCAGAGCATTACACGCCGGCTAATTTAAGATAGAGACAGATAATTGGATTCAGGCAGCGTTATTCTGCGCATTTGGTATCTGTGTTGTATCACACGCGGATCAATACATTCTGGGAGCAGAAAATGATAGTCATCTCCTTATCATTTTCCATTAAAATCCCCTTTTGATAACATTTCATCACAGACTGGTGGGAAGGAAAGAATGAGAGAGACAGAGGGAGAGGGGATGATAGGGAGATAAAAAGAGAGTAAAAGAAAGGTTTTTGTTGCTCCATAAAAACAGCTTTATCTCTGTTTGCCCCCAAACGCTCCAAAAACAGGCCGCACTGGATTATGGGCTATAAATTATATTAAAATCTCTCTGTTGTAGTAATTTCATTTTCTCTTCTAAAATAAATCTCAGCCCAGCAAACACAAAACACTGGAAGCCAAAAAGTTTCTGGACAACCTTTCGGAGGTTACTTCTGAATTAAACGACTCTACTAGCAATTATTTATGTGAGTTTTAACTCAACATGACTTCATTACGTCCGAACGACTTCACCGTAAAACAGCTTTAG